GAGATTAAGTAATCGAATCAATTTAACTGAAACTAGCATAGTTGCAATAGCATTTTGTCAATACATATACATGTAGTAGGAAAAACATGAATGCAGCTGCCAGGAAACTGTGTGTAGCAATGTCATAAAGGATGAAGCAGCGAAAGCCATATGGACTTCTGTATCTTCTCATCAACACCGTCACCTTTGGCGCAACACTCTGAGGTTTGAAAAATGGCGTAATAAAATGTGAAGATAATCAACAGTGGTCATTTTCAAAACTAATTGGAGGTCTTAGAATATTCATTGCCTAAATTAATTGAAATAAATTAAAACTAAACATGTTAACTTTGGTTTAAACTGATGTTGGTAACTTCAAGTCGAAAATTAAGACAGATGATTTAAAACAGACTAATGTACATTAGTTTTATTTACTAATTTTATTTAAGACAAATACAGTAGTTCCAGACATTTAGAGCTCATAATCTTGCACAATATTGTATAATTAAATGGTTTGATTACCACCACCCCTATCCCCCCCCCCCCCCCCCCCCACAGACACACACACCCGCACACCTTCGCGCGCGCGCACTTTTTTTGGATGCGCTAATGTTCATTTTATGTTATTACGGAAAGGGAGGCTTTCAAGGATAAATTCCGATTTTTTTTTCGTTATTCTCTCGATATTGATTTCCTTTATTTTTTCTTTTAATTAATTATTATTTTTTTGTTTCGATTTTTCTTGTTCGTATTTGTTTTTACGTATTAATTTACTATTAATTTCTTTTTTTATTTTGACCATAGGCACTTTGGAAATACAATGGCACATGCACCCCCCTTCTCTAAGAAAGATCGCACCTATATTTGATCAATTAATTAAGTGCCGGATCATTAATTGTCTTGTAATTCACATCATCAGTCAAGAGATGGTCAAACAGTATCTCAATAGTACCGTTTTCTTTTTCACACACTGTAGATGTATTTGCAGAAGATTATAAGAATTTCATATTTGGAAGTTATGCATCCCCTTTGTTGATCAATGTTGCCATAGACCTATCTCAATTTACACCGCGATTGTGAAATCAATTATTATTTACGCTCGTGCATGTTGTGACCTCTTTATAATATTGTCTGATGACTCCTTTTTTAGCTCTACTGGTCAGAGACCAGAAGAGCTTATGCGATAGTAATGCGTCCGTCGTCCGTCCGTCCGTCTGTCTGTCTGTCTGTCTGTCTGTAAACAATTTTTCAAAATGCTACTCCTCCTACAGTTTTGGTCCGATTTCAATATAACTTGGCACACAAGTAGACTACACTAAGATACATAATTTTGTGCATCGGTTTTTGATTTCGATGAACGGTGTTGCCGTGGTTACTAAAAATAGAAATTTCTGTGAAATTCTTTCAAAATGCTACTCCTCCTACAGTTTTGGTCTGATTTCAATAATAACTTGGCACACAAGTAGACTACACTAAGATACATAATTCTGTGCATCGGTTTTTGATTTTGATGAACGGTGTTGCCGTGGTTACTAAAAATAGAAATTTCTGTGAAATTCTTTCAAAATGCTACTCCTCCTACAGTTTTGGTCCGATTTCAATATAACTTGGCACACAAGTAGACTACACTAAGATACATAATTTTGTGCATCGGTTTTTGATTTCGATGAACGGTGTTGCCGTGGTTACTAAAAATAGAAATTTCTGTGAAATTCTTTCAAAATGCTACTCCTCCTACAGTTTTGGTCTGATTTCAATTTAACTTGGCACAAAAGTAGACTACACTAAGATACATAATTCTGTGCATCGGTTTTTTGATTTTGATGAACGGTGTTGCCGTGGTTACTAAAATTAGAAATTTCTGTGAAATTCTTTCAAAATGCTACTCCTCCTACAGTTTTGGTCCAATTTCAATATTACTTGGCACACAAGTAGACTACACTAAAATACATAATTCTGTGCATCGGTTTTTGATTTCGATGAACGGTGTTGCCGTGCTTACTAAAAATAGAAATTTCTTTGAAATTCTTTCAAAATGCTACTCCTGCTACAGATTTGGTCCGATTTCAGTATAACTTGGCACACAAGTAGACTACACTAAGATACATAATTTTGTGCATCGGTTTTTGATTTCGATAAACGGGTGTTGCCGTGGTTACTAAAAATAGAAATTTCTGTGAAATTCTTTCAAAATGCTACTCCTCCTGCAGTTTTGGTCCAATTTCATTATAACTTGGCACACAAGTAGAATACACTAAGATACATAATTCTGTGCATCGGTTTTTGATTTCGTTGAACGGTGTTGCCTTGGTTACTAAAAATAGAAATTTCTTTGAAATTCTTTCAAAATGCTACTCCTCCTACAGATTTGGTCCGATTTCAGTATAACTTGGCACACAAGTAGATTACACTAAGATGCATAATTCTGTGCATCGGTTTTTGATTTCGATAAACGGTGTTGCCGTGGTTACTAAAAATAGAAATTTCTGTGAAATTCTTTCAAAATGCTACTCCTCCTGCAGTTTTGGTCCAATTTCATTATAACTTGGCACACAAGTAGACTACACTAAGATACATAATTCTGTGCATCGGTTTTTGATTTCGTTGAACGGTGTTGCCTTGGTTACTAAAAATAGAAATTTCTTTGAAATTCTTTCAAAATGCTACTCCTCCTACAGATTTGGTCCGATTTCAGTATAACTTGGCACACAAGTAGATTACACTAAGATACATAATTCTGTGCATCGGTTTTTGATTTCGATAAACGGTGTTGCCGTGGTTACTAAAAATAGAAATTTCTGTAAAATTCTTTCAAAATGCTACTCCTCCTACAGTTTTGGTCTCATTTTGATGTAACTTGGCATACAAGTAGACTACACTAAGATACATAATTCTATGCATCGGTTTTTGATTTCAATGAACAATGTTGCCATGGTTACTAAAAATAGAAATTTCTGTGAAATTCTTTCAAAATGCTACTCCTCCTGCAGTTTTGGTCTGATTTCAGTATAACTTGGCACACAAGTAGACTATACTAAGATACATAATTCTGTGCATTGGTTTTTATTTTGATGAGTGGCAAGGATCATTTTTCTATTTATTGCTGATTTAAAGTCTCAAGTCCCAACTGCTACTTTTCTCTTCCTTTGTTTTAAGTATAAACCAGTAGAGCTACAGTCTCGACAGAGACTTCTGGTTTAATCCTGGACTCTAAAATAACGTATTCTATAAAGCCCTTCCCAACAAATGAAGATCCTTTCTATGTGTCTGCTAACTGCATATGATTTTACGAATATATACATTCTGTATATATATTTTTTTTTCAGTTATGTACGAGAGAAAGTTTGATCCTGTTACAACCTGACCATAAGAATAAAAAGTTGGATTTAAAAAAAAAATACTGCGGTTTGTAAATGATAACCTATAATCATCATTTATTCGTGACTTTAATTTTTTCTTTCTTTTCTTTTCGTTTCCTTTTTTTTTTTTTTTGATATCACTGGGAGCTCCCCGGATGGCTCGTACCTGTTTGAATTCAGCCGAGGATTGCCGATTGTACAAATGCATAATGATCTATCTATTACAAAATACATGTAATGCTGAGAATAAATCTAAAGAAATTTCTTCCGATGGCAGCGTATATATGTATATAATATTATTTGGATTTTCAGGGCATGAGACCCATGCATCTTACACCATTTAAACATATATTGCCTTGTTCTCTTTGATACAGCTGATTATGAATTAAACTGATTATTTACATGTACATGTAACTGTGTATCAAATGTTTAGATTGTACAGTTAGAATGTCATCCGGTACCATTGACTTGGTCAATAAAATATTGCATGAATCAACGTACTAAGAAGAAAAGTTTTATACATGTGTTAATTATATATTAACGATTTTACTCTGAAAGTATGAATTTAACGTCTTACTTTTATTGTTGTCCGACTAATTGTTTTGCATCAAGCCTAGATATCTACAAAACTTAGATTTTTTTATCGGTATATTTTAGTGCTGAGCAAATTCAATTCCATAATATTTTTAACATGAGAATAAAATACAAGATTTTCTCTTTACAAAATTGTACAACATACGATATTTATCTTAAACAAAATGTAAACAATTGCAAGCGAAGTAACGTGTCTTTGTTCCATGGCTAGTACAACGTGCCGGGCTCATCCTTGAAGAAAGGCCTAACCCCCCGTTTCCCCAATGTACAAAAAAATCTCTTTCACTGATATATAGTAAAGTCATAATTATTAATACGATGTGTACCAGTATATTTTATTTGATTTTAGCATCTTAAATCACTGACGTATACTAGGCAAGTAACATTGTTAGAAGGGGGGGGGGGGCAAACACGTTTAATCTAATTTGAATTGGGGAACTTTCCACATTTCGATATAATGTTCAATTGAAATAAAATTAAAGGACATCGATTTTGAAAGAAGTGTGATATAACTGATAAGTAAAAAAAAATAATAACAATGCCTGTAAGCTGCACCCCCCCCCCCTAAAAACAATTGTTCAGGGAAGTACAACTAGTATGTCATTTCCAAAAAAAAATGCATGTACATGTAGGTACTTGGTAAGGGTTTGTTTTTGTGGAGGTAAGTTTGCTGATATAGCGAGACGGAAAACAATACTTTGACCGGGATTTATCCTTACGACTTTACTACATGAACATAATTATTCATTTTAGTCCCTTGCAAACTCGGTCATTTCTGTGAACATAAGTTATTTCTCCCTTTGAAAATTTCCGAGTTGTTACGAATGCCTTGCGAGATAACTTCCGAGTGGGAACTTGTTTGGTTTTGTACACATGATCAGCAGTCTATCCCCTTGTGAAGGATCCTTTCAAATACCAATTTTTCAGAGATTAAAGCATGAATTGTTCATATAATTATGTTGAAGAAAAAAGATGAAATGATGTCGTTGAATATATTCTTTGAAAATGTACAACTTACTTAATTATTTCAATATTGGCCAACATATACATATAGAAAAAATTGTCGTTTTTTTTCCTAACAGCCTTATCGCTATTTTACAATGTATACGATCACATAGATGCTAAAATTAGGGGGGGGAGGCATTGAAAAACTTAAATACATGTAGAAAAAATAATTTCTAACGAATACAAAAGGGTTATTTAGTAACTATAACGTTCCAAATATCAATAACGTTACGTGACGTTATTCAACGTTTTATAGCGTGATCTTTTTAAAATTGTATTGCTTTCATTTTGAGTTTTAATTAGAATTTAGAAGGTATACAATAATAAAATTGGTATCAAACTATTCAGAAAAACTAGCTCTTTCAGAATCGGTGAAAAAACGATTTTCGAAAATTTTGTCACGAAGGTCCCTTTTCGCTTGACGCAACTCATATATATTCAAAATGACAATAATACCTTTGTTTATCTCTCTATATATTTCATTAGATTGTTTAACAATATAACGTCAACATCTTGTTAACATTGCCTTCCCCTTTTCTGTTGTTTACATCGTTCACATCGTCGACATCGCAATGTTGGTCGATATTGAGTCGATGTCATGTCAACATTGCCCTTCTTATTTTTCTTGTTTACATCGTTCACAATGTTGGTCGATATCGAGTTGACATTGAGTCAACAGTGCCTTCTTTTTATCTTGTTTACAGCGTTCACATCGTCGACATCGCAATGTTGGTTGATATCGAGTCGACATCGTGTCAACATTGCGTTCTTTTTTATCTTTTTTTCAATGTAGACGATGTAAATGCGATATCGTATCAACATTGTTTACACATGCGACGTAGACGATATCTTCATGTAGAAACATGCAATGACAATGTAGACAATGTAAACGCAATATCGTATCAACATTGTTTACATTGCGATGTTGAAGATATTGTCATGTAGAAACAATAACAATGTAGACGATGTAAACACGACATCGAATCAACATTGTTTACATTGCAATGTCGACGTTGACTATGTCGTCATGTAGAAACAATTACAATGTAGACGATGTGAACCCGATATTGTATCAACATTGTTTACATTGCGATGTCGACAATATCATTTCAATCGATTTGATTAAGGGAACTGGACATGAATGACTCCTTAATGGAACAAGGGAAGTATGGAAACTTGTGATGGTCACTCTAACACGATCATTGCATGTATCGTCACAGGGGCTCGTCATGACTTATTTGTCTTCTCTCCATTTAACCAACTCTATCAGGTCCAGTACAATCACGAGATTTAGCTACGTAGCTTGATTTACCTACATAGCTTTATTTACCTACCTGAGGTAGCTTTATTTAGCTACCAGATCAATTTATTTCTATATAAAAGAATTTTTCTCAGGGTGTGCAGAAAATATCATTTTGATGCAGTGATCATTTTCAACTTTGAACTCATCTGAAAACAATTCATGAAAAAATCCCTCTTGAATAAATGTCTTTTTCTGCACAATTGCAATCAAAGTTCTGAAAGTTTTGGGACTGTGTATGACAGTTGGAACAGTTACTCCTTGAATGAAATGACAAAGAAGTCCAGTTCCAGTTAACACGATAATAGGTCAGTAATTAACTAATTATTCAGCACAATGTGAAGTAATCATACTCAGCCATGCCTCACTGCACGCATGAGAGAGGACAGTTAACCGAACAATGAAATTACATGTTTTGCTTTAAATTGTCCAAACGCAGCAATGTATAAACTATCTCTGCTTTGGATTGTTTTTTAAAGCCTCCCTAGTATAAATATCGAGTCATTTAATTGCGATTTTTTGTCTCTTTTTAATAAAAAGAAAAATTTTGAAAAGTTACATTGAAATAGCCAAATAAAGCTACCTGAGGTAGGTAAATAAAGCTACCTAGGTAGTTCTGCGTACGTAGCTAAATCTAGTGATTGTACTGGACCTGTCTATAGTTGAATCCATGCACTTTTCAAAAGTATTTCCCTTGGCCACCATCTTTGGGGAAAAACCCATAGAATCCTCACAGTAAACTGTATAGTTTTCTGGTTTGTAACTATGTTATCTGACTGGAAAAATTATGTGCATTTTGTATAATGATTGCCCCAAGATATGGGGCTACCCATATATATCAAAAGAAAAAAATCTAAGTACAGTGGATTTATATTATTGAAGCACGACCAAATGTTTAGTAGCATAAAGAGGAGAAATGTCATTTCTTTCCCTTTTGACCTTTTGGTTGACCCCGCAAAGGGACATAACTATTGCAAAGTGTGGATTGGACTATACATATGTACTATAAAACACATGTGTGATTCATAGCATAACAATAGGGATGGTCAAATAGAATGAAGACAGATGAAAAGCCCCTGTGATGTCACGGAGGAACTTGGCAAAAACAGTTCCAATTATAAAGATCAAGTCTCATTTATGAGGCAAAGTCAAAAGAAAGGGGCTTGTTGGAGGGGAACTAAACTCTTGCTGTCTTCCTCACTGAACCCTTTTCACTCGCTGTTTAATGTAAATCAATGTAATATTTTTAAGGATTGGGAGTATACCATGAGGAGAGAAATGCAGGAAATTATACCTAATCTCTACTTAGGTCCATATGCTGCAGCTAACAAGAACAAGGTAATTGTTCCTTTACCATGTTTACTCTGTAGCTGAAAATGAACAGTAACTAAAGAACATATCATAATTATGTAGATTAATTTAGCTGACACATTATTTAAAGCTCATCTAAATTTAGATAAGCTTTTTCTGCAATTATGATTGATCCCCAAATTTAAGTTTTTAATGCAGGAGTTAAACATGTGGTATTTTTCTTTTTATGTAATAAAGTAGGTAACATGAAAGTTCAAAAATCAAAATGGAAAAAAAAATGATGCATTATTTAACAAAAAAAAGGTAGAATCCTATAAGTTTCCCCATTCTTTAACTGCTCTTTATTCCTTTCCTAATTGTGTATGATTATTATACAGTTAAAGTATATCATTGAGGGAGTTACTGTTAGCAAGATTCCAGTTCCCCAAAGCCAGGACTATTTCTTAAGGCAAAGCCAAGGAAAAAAGTCCTGGCCTTGGGGAACTGGAATCTTACTAACTCCTGCAATGATATACTTTTTAACTGTTTTATTATACTGATACAAACGTAAAATTTAGAGGATTTGGATAGCATGATTTTAAAGCAGGGATTAGCTCACTGAACTAACACACAGGGATTAATCCATTCTCAGATCACCCCTATGTAGAAGTAAAAATCTAGATGATTATGAAAAATGAAGAATTAGCTTTCGAAGCAGGGATTAGATCACTTGACTAATGCACAGGGATTAGTCCATTCATAAGGATTTCTTGGGAATTAGTCACATCAAACAATCTAATGTTATATAGGGAAAAATCAGTAGAGGTATTATAAAAATAATATAAAAGTATGCATTGCTCTCTTAATTAGGGCCCCGCAAGGATTTGCGGGTGCCCTATAGTAATCACTCTGTCTGTCTGTCTGTCTGTCCGTCTGTCTGTCCGTCTGTCTGTCCGTCTGTCACTCTTCCGTCCACAAATTTTCTGTTTTTTTCTAATAACTTTTTTTATGGTTGCCCAATCAAGATCAAATTTGGTATGGTAGTTCAATAGGCAGAAATACATATTTTGATGCTAAGTTTGGTTCTCTATGTCTTCTGGTTTGGAGCTGGGGTGGTGGGATAGATTCCTTAACTATGCATAAGAATGAATGTGCAACTTTTTTTATGGTTGCCCAATCAAGTACAAATTAGGTATGGTAGTTCAGTATGCAGAAATACATATTTTGATGCTAAGTTTGGTTCTCTATGTCCCCTGGTTTGGAGCTGGGGTGGTGGGGTAGATTCCTTAACTTTATATAAGAATGCATTGGCAAAGAGAGATAACTGCTGAAGATGTTCCCATTGTAAACTGAATGCTGCTGTGAGTCCCTTGGGATTAATTAGCTTTCCTCCTGAAGAAAATCCAGAGCATTATCTTTATCTGTCACATTGAGATGAATTACCACCTCTGAAGTCAATTTGGAATGCTATGAACACTCTGAAATGTGGATTTAAATATAAATTTTTATAATTTATTTTTGTTTAATAGTTATGATTTTATTGAATTCTAAAAACAAGAAATAGATTAAAGAAGATTTTTTGATTTACTTTTTTTCACTTTATGTCAATTCAAAAATATTATTAATTTTTAAGGTAGTTGTATAAAAAACCCATTCTATCATTAATACTGAAAAAGTTCTTATTGTAACTTTAAAAGAAAATGATGAGAGGTACAATTAATCCCTTGGGATTAATTATCTAGCCTGCTGTCGAAAATTTAGTAGGCTTTTCTTTATCTGTCACTTTAAGATTAATGAAAACTTTGTCTGCAATTGCTAATTGTTTGAAGTTATTAAGGTCAAGCCTTCATGATATTTGCATTCATTGAAGGCTGGCATTTTATATAATACAAGCTTCATAATTGTTTAAATAAACATTCAATGTTAAGTTGTTCTTTACTGCCTAATGTAAATACAAGGATATTATTTTCAGGATTTTGAATTTTCAGGAATTATCTTGAAATTTTAAGAATATAGTTGCTGTTGCTTATTCTTCGTACATTTTTTAATCATTCCCTAAGCTGCAACCTTTTAAATTCTATCCCATGGCGGGGCCCTTACTGACTGGTCAGTTTTCTAGTTGCTCTTGGATATAAATGTACTTTTTTACATGCTAAAAAGCTGTAGAAAAGATTTCATGTTATGTAGAAATTTGATTTTCTCTGCAGTTATGCTATCTAGAATCGATGGGAATAACTGACATTGTGTGTGTAAGACATGCTGCTGAGGCGAATTTCATCAAACCAAACTTTCCAGACAAGATCAGGTATGGATAATTAAAGTATATCAAAGTTTTGGCAAACTTTTCTCTGTGTATAACAACTTAAATGCTAGCTGCAGATCTGTAGCTCTCCAAAAATATTGACAGACTGGTCAGGCAATATATTTTGTTTTCGGAGAGCTACAATTCTGCAGCTACTTAAATTCCAGAAAACTTGTTTTCGGTTGGATTTTTGGTTGTATTCACTAATGTAAGAAATTGAATTTCAGTCCTGGTAATTGTTTGCAATTAAATTTATTACAGATACTTGGTCCTGAATGTCGCAGATGTTTATACAGAAAATATTATTCAGTATTTTCAAAAGGTTAGTGTGGTTGTCTCTTTTATAAAAGCTGAATGGAGTGTTAAAAAAACTAGCTTCCACTTCGTTTTAGTAATTCAAAAACTATTTATCTAATATCCATTTATGAGAAATATTTGGTCTAAATACCAGAATTTCATAGCCCACTAGTAGATATATGTATATGGTAATTGGATTTTTCTAAGTAAGCAAGCAAGCTTTTACTGTCAACAGGATCTGTGAAACAACGCAATGAATAATTGAATACCAATATAGATACCATTAGTTTTTATTGTAGGTTATACTCAGATATCCTTTTTATGAAAAATATTTAACAGAAGTTATTGTACTTGTACATGTACATATTTAAGGAATCACTGTCTAGTTAGTATAGTATGCCAGGGCATCAACAATAGTTGGAAACATGGGATAATTTACATAATGGGCGAAGCCCGTTATGCATAAATTATCCCATGTTTCCCACTATTGTTGATGTCCCTGGCATACTATACTAAGTAGACAGTGATTCCTTATATTTCCATTTCATTGTGAAATAAAATTGTAGATTTAGACTTTAAAAATGCAGACATCAGTTTAAATTAGACGAGGATTCCCATCCCAGTTTCAATAGTCCTCGCCCACTGACGTCAAACACAAAGGCAGCCGCACGAGATTTTCATGCATATTTGGCCCCCTTACCGTCGGACTCAGAGACAGAGGCGCACGAGATTTGCCTGCATATTAGCCCTACTTAGCCCCTGACCTATTGACCTGCCTAATTTACATTGCGGTAGAACTATCAAGAAATTAACCCCTCTAACTTTCAAAGAGTTATCACAGAGAGAAAAATTAGAAATGGAAATATTTTCAAACAATTGAATCCCAAACTCCCATATATAAGGTACAACATGACTCTCAAAATACTAATCGAAGGTCAAATGGTTTTGTGCATGCATATGTCGGTACAGCATTTTTAACCCATGCAATTTTTTTGCTCATTTTTCCTTAGGCATTAAATCAAAATTACAATTGTAGTACATGTGTTTGAATTCACACATACTTTTAATGTCTTCAATCAATTTGAATGTACATAAACTGAATAATCAAAATTACAGGTACTTGTTAATTACATTTCTTGAAACTCAAAAATAGCGGGCTTCATATTTTAGTGGCTTTAGCACAGACAAGGATGCGCTAATTCATGAATACCACTAAGAATTCATTAAAAATTAGAATGTACGGCATGAACATATGTAGCACTAATTTATGATTATGCCAACAACTACATATCCATTGATTGCACTAAATTTTGCATACGCCAAAATATTTCCATTTCTAATTTTTTTTTCTCTGTTATAACTCTTTTAAAGTTGTCGGAGTTTATTTCTTGATAATTCTGCCGGAATGTAAATTAGGCAGGTCGATAGGTCAGGAGCTAAGGAGGCCTAATACGCATGCAAATCTCGTGTGCATCTGTCTCTGTGTCTGACACTAAGGAGGCCAAATATGCATGTAAATCTCGTGCGGCTGCCTATGTGTTTAACGTCAGTGGGCGAAGACTATTGAAATTGGCATGGAAGTCCTCATGTGATTATAGTCTATGTCTACATTTTTAAAGTCTAAATCTACAATTTTATTTCACAATGAAATGGAAATATAAGGAATCACTGTCTAGTTTTGAGAGTATGCCAGGGACATCAACAATAGTGGGAAACATGGGATAATTTTAGCATAACGGGCTTTGCCCGTTATGCAAATTATCCCATGTTTCCCACTATTGTTGATGCCCTGGCATACTCTCAAAACTAGACAGTGATTCCTTAAATAACTTTCTAATTTCCTTTTAAAGGTGAAGGCATTTATCGATGAAAGTTTTGCAGGAAATGGTAAAGTTCTTGTTCATGGAAATGCTGGGATGTCTCGAAGGTATATGTTTGATATATGACAGTTGTAAATATTTTATTAAGTAAAATTTTGTTCAGCAATGTTAGGTATAATCTGCAAAGCTTAAAGGCCCCTGTATGAAAGTGTCTTACAGTTATTGGGATTGTATCAAATGACTCCTAGACATCTACCAATATCAAACAATTTTGGAATAAAGAAACTATTGGTAAAGGAGAGCAAAAGTTTGGAATTTTTTGGCTGCTGCCTCCCCACTTCCCTTCCTTCTAGCCTACAGAATGAAGCTAAAACCATCAAAATTAATGCAATTTATGCAATCTTTACTTATGGAGATCAGTAGTGCCAAATATCTTTGGCATAATTGTTTAATTAAGGAATAACTGTCTTATTTTTAGCTCTACTGGTCAGAGACCAGAAGAGCTTATGCGATAGTAATGCGTCCGTCGTCCGTCCGTCCGTCTGTCTGTCTGTCCGTCTGTAAACAATTTTTCAAAAATGCTACTCCTCCTTCAGTTTTGGTCTGATTTCAATATAACTTGGCACACAAGTAGACTACACTAAGATACATAATTCTGTGTATCGGTTTTTGATTTCAATGAACGGTGTGGCCGTTGTTACTAAAAATAGAATTTTTTGTGAAAATCATTCAAAATGCTACTCCTCCTACAGTTTTAATCTGATTTCAATATAACTTGGCACACAAGTAGACTACACTAAGATGCATAATTCTGTGTATCGGTTTTTGATTTCAATGAACAGTGTTGCCGTTGTTACTAAAAATAGATTTTTTTGTGAAAATCATTCAAAATGCTACTCCTCCTACAGTTTTAGTTCGATTTCAAAATTACTTTGCACCCAAGTAGACTACACTAAGACACATAATTCTATGTATCGGTTTTTGATTTCGATGAACGGTGTTGTCGTTGTTACTAAAAATAGAAAAATTTGTGAAAATCATTCAAAATGCTACTCCTCCTACAGTTTTAATCTGATTTCAGTATAACTTGGCACACAAGTAGACAACACAAAGATACATAATTCTATGTAGCGGTTTCGGATTTCAATGAACGGTGTTGCCATTGTTACTAAAAATAGAATTTAATAAAATACTTTCAAAATGCTACTCCTCCTACAGTTTTGGTCTGATTTTATTATAACTTGGCACACAACTACACTAAGGTACATAATTCTGTGTATCGCTTTTTGATTTCAAAGAACGGTGTTGTCGTTGTTACTTAAAAAAGAAATTTCTTTGAAATACATTTAAAATGCTACTCCTCCTACAGTTTTGGTCTGATTTCAATATAACTTGGCACACAAGTACACTACACTAAGATACATAATTCTGTGTATCGGTTTTTCTCATTATTCTATTTATCGCTTTTGTAAAGTTTTATATCCCAACTGCTACTTTTCTCTTTCTTTATTTTTAGTACAAACCAGTAGAGCTTCAGTCTCGACAGAGACTTCTGGTTGGATTTCATGATGTGATCAATTGATTGGGTTGCGTGATAATTTGCATAAACACCTTTGGCGTTTATGCATAAAATTATCACACAAGCCATTCGATTGTCATCTTCATGAAATTGAAAAATCTGACAGTTATTCCTTATATTTACATGCTTTGATTCCGCCAATCCATGTGCTCCAAGCCCTGCTTCTGTCTAGCTGTTTGTTCCGCCCTGCACTTGGTTTTTTTGGAACCGTGCCAATACATTGATGGGGAAATAAAGTACATTTACAATTTGTAATTTTATCTCGGACAAAGACATTGGAAATGTAAATATAAAGATGTGAGTCATGCAAAGTCATACCGGTATTCTGTAGACTGGCTTTGGCTTCTTATTATAAAAGAAGGAATGTCATATTTAAAATTTTCATCCAATGAAAATCATAAATATAATTTTCTAATATCATATTGTACACTCTTGTCTGGATATAATGAGTGATCTCGATCAAGGGTTGAAATAACACTGGCTTATACAGGCAAGTTTCTGAGTCATTGCTGATTTACATGTACCTGACTATTTTGTTGATCCTTGAACATCCTTTATCTTGTTTTTGAGATTCATTTTATTTTATTCTTTCATATAATTATTCATCATTTCATGGATCTTTAAAAGGGTAGTATTGTACAAAATTGACTGATAATGTCCCTCGGCTTCTTGTTTTTTTTAAAACTCTTTCTTCTGTGAACGTATATATTTTTAAAAATTTCAGTGCATCATTGGTGATAGCCTACATCATGGAGAAGTATGGCCTATCTTATAGGTATGTTAGATAAGCAAACTTGTAGGATTAAGCATAAAAAGATTGTTAATTTCAACATTTCTCTCTCTTTTTAGCTCTACTGGTCAGAGACCAGAAGAGCTTATGCGATAGTAATGCGTCCGGCGTCCGTCCGTCTGTCTGTCTGTCTGTCCAGCTGTCCGTCTGTCCTTCTGTCTGTAAACAATTTTTCAAAATGCTACTCCTCCTACAGTTTTGGTCTAATTTCAATATAACTTGGCACACAAGTAGACTACACTAAGATACATAATTCTGTGTATCGGTTTTTGATTTCGATGAACGGTGTTGCCGTGGTTACTAAAAATAGAAATTTCTGTGAAATTCATTCAAAATGCTACTCCTCCTACAGTTTTAATCTGATTTCAGTATAACTTGGCACACAAGTAGACTACACTAAGATACATAATTCTGTGTATCGGTTTTTGATTTCAATGAACAGTGTTGCTGTGGTTACTAAAAATAGAAATTTCTGTGAAATTCTTTCAAAATGCTACTCCTCCTACAGTTTTGGTCTGATTTCAGTATAACTTGGCACACAAGTAGACTACACTAAGATACATAAATCTGTGTATCGGTTTTTGACTTCGATGAACGGTGTTGCCGTGGTTACTAAAAATAGAAATATCTGTAAAATTGTTTCAAAATGCTACTCCTCCTACAGTTTTGGTCTGATTTCAGTATAACTTGGCACACAAGTAGAATACACTAAGATACATAATTCTGTTTATTGGTTTTTGATTTCGATGAACGGTGTTGCCGTGGTTACTAAAAATAGAAATTTCTGTGAAATTCTTTCAAAATGCTACTCCTCCTACAGTTTTGGTCTGATTTCAGTATAACTTGGCACACAAGTAGAATACACTAAGATACATAAATCTGTGTATCAGTTTTTGATTTCGATGAACGGTGTTGCCATGGTTACTAAAAATAGAAATTTCTGTGAAATTCTTTCAAAATGCTACTCCTCCTACAGTTTTGGTCTGATTTCAGTATAACTTGGCACACAAGTAGAATACACTAAGATACATAATTCTGTTTATTGGTTTTTGATTTCGATGAACGGTGTTGCCGTGTCTTCTAAAAATAGAAATATCTGTAAAATTGTTTCAAAATGCTATTCCTCCTACAGTTTTGGTCTGATTTCAGTATAACTTGGCACACAAGTAGAATACACTAAGATACATAATTCTGTATATCGAATTTTAATTTTAATTTTGATGAACGGTGTTGCTATGGTTACTAAAAATAGAAATGACTGTAAAATTGTTTCAAAATGCTACTCCTCCTACAGTTTTGGTCTGATTTCAATATAACTTGGCACACAAGTAGACTACACTAAGAACATAAAGAGACTTTATCAACGATCATTATTCTATTTATTGCTGTTGTAAAATTTCAAATCCCAGCTGCTTAAGTACTTTCTCTTCTCTTGCTATAAGTTCAAACCAGTAGAGCTTCAGTCTCGACAGAGACTTCTGGTTTTTAATTCATTGCTGTAACTAAACAACAACAACAACATCTTAATTTTGAAATTCATATCTCCTGTCTCCAGAGTTGAGATCTGAGGTGGAGTAGTACTAATTGTATATCTGCAAATGAACTTTAAGGCCAAGTGTATTCCCCATTTTCAAAAGGTGAGTTATTTCCCCTGAAGGGAACTCTTTTACTGTGTTTAATACGCATGCGCTATAAATAAAGTCACTTCCGCGGACGTTCTTGATGAAAACATGTTCATGGTGTAATGCCTCTGTCATATGGAAAAATGTTATTGTGTTTGTGAATAAAAAGAAATCTTAACTGATTCGTATTTTTTTATTTAAATTGCCCACTCATAGTCTCTTTCTGGATTTGTATAATCTGTGTAGTACTATAATAAGGTGCTGTGTGACCCCCCCCCCCCCTTACAAAAAAAAAAAACGAAACAAATTACTGATAAAATGCCGATACATATTCGAATAGGCCTATTTAAAAAAAAAGCTAATAAGCTAATTTTCGGTAGTGGATGTTCTGCAGACGGATCATCATTATTAACAAAATGTGCGGAACAAATTTTAGTTATAAAGTTTTTACGAAATAATTTAGCCTGCTGCAGCCATATTTTCTTTGTATCTCTAGGAATTTTTTGGAGACTGATGACATGTCCATCTACAGTTTTACCTCTGAAATTGCCGCATATACAGCAGTAGTTCGTTTTCCGCGACCGATACCAAGAAACTGCGTTTTTGCTCGACTGTATGTCATAACATAGAACTTTTACTTACAAGAACACATTTGGTGACAATTAAAGGCCTATTTCATTTGAATTAACAGTGTTTCTAGAATTTTTAATTTGTAAAATAATTGATTCACTATATAGTATTAAAACTTTGAATGGAATTCTAAATGAATAATTTAATCTCATATCCTCATGTAACGAAGAAAGACTAATTAAAATAGCATTGACCTGAATTCGTGTTACATATGTCGTATAAAGTCTGAGCTGCATTTAATCAAAGTTTTAGTGTAGGATCTAAGCATATGTACATGTATATTTCCGAGTAAAATACACACCCTGTTTAAGATCAGAGAATTGAGAGCAGAAACACGAAATTGATACAATAATTTCCTAGCGTATTTCTCGTTTATTAACGGAAAACATTCTTTTCTCATGTGTTATTTATTTTTTTAAAATCCTTTCAGTGTAAGTACATGTATTTATTTTTATAAGTTATTCTTTTTTGCAAAGTGTGTAAAAAACAATATCAGAGAGAAAGAGAAAGAGAGAGAGAGAGAGAGAGAGACTCATGTAACCCCGTGTAACTGACATACATGTACATCTGTGAAAAAATATATGTACCGTACTTTTATTGAATTCACAACTAATAATTCTAATAATTTTCAATTTTCACAACTATGGTTCACATTCAACTGTTCAACCCATTTACATAATTATTCGTTCTCTGTACCTGTACGCACGGGGGGGGGGGGGGGGGGGGCAAGGGGCTTAGTTAATACTACGGTAAAGTTATATACGGCAAATGTAGTATTGTATGCCAAGGAACTGGTACTGAAATAAGTAGCTCTTTCAACTTTGGGCAAGGTTTTTCTTTGCTTGCCAACTTTTCAAGGTAAGAAAAAATGTTTCTTTGCCTACCCCCCCTTTTTAGTTAATACTACGGTAAAGTTATATACGGCAAATGTAGTATTGTATGCCAAGGAACTGGTACTGAAATAAGTAGCTCTTTCAACTTTGGGCAAGGTTTTTCTTTGCTTGCCAACTTTTCAAGGTAAGAAAAAATGTTTCTTTGCCTACCCCCCCTTTTTAAAGACGATGCTACGTGCCTGGCTAATTCGTATAGCTTTCTAGAAAAGGGGGGGGGGGGTAACAGACCCTTTATAAAATAATTTATTATCTAAAAAAAAAAAATACAAACCGTTTCCTTCTTTTAAAATTTTTAAATACAGCGCGTAAGTTTATCACTATTTTGTTAGATTATCGTATTGCGTAGTCCGCGGAAGTTAGGCTAGTGTAGAAGAGTTCCGATTTTGAGGGGAGATAACTCACTTTTGAAAATGGGGAATAGGATTCAACTTGTTTGTCATTCTGTCCATGGAACCTTGTCTGAGCTAACTTTGAAACACTGGAGGCTCATACTTGGGACAGAGATTGCTAATGACCAAATTAACACAAGATCAAGGATCTAAATAATTTTGTAATAAAAATCACTGAAAGCTCCTGAAAGCAAATTTACAGAGATTTGCATGTGATCCAAGGATGGGACATGACCCAAGGTCATTTTGGAAATTTCAAGGCCATTGGCAGAAAATTGAAGTCTTGTCTGGGCAAGAAAAAATAAAGATATATTCTGAATTTTACACTTTTATACACTTTCACACAGTAAAATTCATGATACCATTATGTCTATATTTTTATCCAAGTTGTATATCTGCTCAAGCTTCTTTTTCTTAAATATTTATCAGAAATTGATTTTTATCTGATAATTAGGATAGAGAAGATATATACCTAAAATTTTGGTCACAATTATAAAATTCATTTTTAATCAGATAATAAAAATATGTACCGGGTAATGTCTTGGGGGAATCTTGAAGCACCTTATTCCTTGTGTTTTTCTCTGAGATTTTGTCTGTTTTCAGGAGTATTCAGTGATTGCAATCATTTTTAAGTTTCATGAATTAGCAGCTTATTTAAAGTGCAAAATATCAAAAAATTACACCAGAAGTTATTTCTCTTAGTACAAAAAAAAAAACGTTGGATTTGATTATTCATTCAGAATTTAAAAAAAAAAATAAATATCCAAAACTTCCAGATCTCAGGCCCAGACTGTATTTGTTAGGAAACTTTTATACTCCAGTGATGCTGGAGGCTTGCTGGCTGTTTAATTTTTTTTTTAAATTTCAATTCAATAGGGACGCCTTTGCCCATGTCCAACAGAAAAGGTTCTGTATCAACCCGAATGAAGGATTTGTACAACAATTAAATGTAAGTCAAACACCTTCTGTATTCTGCATGATTTAAAACAATTTCAGTATGTACAATTTATAAAGAGTTTGTACTGACTTTACTTCTCTCACTAGGAATACGAGCCAATGTACAGAGCTAGACTCAGTTTCCAACACAGTTATACCCCTTTAGAAAGTGGTATGTTGATCACACTTTTCTAGAGATTACGTTTAACTAAGAAGAGATTAGAAATGACAAAAAAATATTTGCATTTATAGGAATGTTAAAGAGAAAATACTGTGAGGATAATGAGCCTCCACAAGACAGCATGATGATTCTTCCTACTTGACCATTGTCAGACTGCATTCTACAAGACACCATGGCGATTCTACCCAGTTGACCATTGTCAGACTGCATTCTTAATTATTGCCAGTATTTCTCCATAAATGAACAAGAAGACAGATTTACCTTGTGGACTGTCAGTAACTAGTTTGACAGATGTATGGAGTGAATGCATTTTTTCCTCTACCTTTCTCAGGCATTTGAAACATTGTAAACAAAAATGGTGTTACATGTATATATGTTTTCTCGATGGATGTCTTATGCATTCATTTTTTACTACACTGTACATTATAATTGCTGCAGCATATTGTTACCAAATCTTTAACCATGTTAAATATATGTATTTATAATTTAACATTATGATTTACTTGTTTTTAATTCTTAAAGTTTCAGAAATTTCAAAGAGTTGGGAGCCCATGAACCCACAATAATAAGAAGTATCTAATTATCCATTTATCTGAAACACTCTTACATGTAGATCATAAATATTCTACTGTAAATTTAGAAGAAAACTAAACATCAAATTGCCTACTGTATCATCCCTATTAACTACCCCAGGTGCTTAGAAAATTGCGAAAAGGGGGTATTCTAGTTATAATTTTTTGATGTCATATTTTAACTTCAAAAAATCTTTTTAAAAAATTCAGAAAACCACTAAAAGATTGTCTACTTTCCTTTAAGTTAAGATAATCAATCGAAATTATGCAATATGATTTATTTTTCCACTGAGAAATTAGAGAATACAAAAGGAGAACAAATTTTTTAGGTAACTTTCACCTTCAGAAATACATAATGAATTTCACTTTCTTCAAATGATTGCAGACTTTCAATAGGATTCTAGATGATTTTAGTCACTGTACGCGGGGCCCTTTTTTCCTGACAATTGAAAGAGACCTAGGGGGCGCTTAGAGGGATTATAGGGTATGCCCCTTTAATAAGCAAGGTAAAATCCACAATACATGAGGATTCTGAATATTAATATGACTTGCATGGCCTTGCTATTATGGAGGTTGTTTTTTTCTCTAAGTACCTTCTCCAGAGCAACAAGACCATGCAAGGTAAGGGGTATTTTTTTTATTAAAAGTACCACCACTTGAGGTCATAATTAACAAATTTTAAAACTGCAGTGGCTGAGGATGATTGCATGTAATATTGCTAATCATGGCCCAGCTTTTCCTATGAAGCTATTTTTGCCTTAAAAAAAAAGGTTACATATCAAATCATGCATTATAATTTCATGTTTTTAATAATGCAGGCATCACAAAAATATGTACATCGTACATATAGGTCAGAAAAGTTGCTCGAGTACATGTCAATTTACACTCGTTTTTTTACACTGGCTTATAATCTAGCTTGGTCTCCAGTTTTTTATTGTCAGCTACTTTCCGCACAGCTTTCATAAAGTCCTCTTCTATTACATAATCTCTTTCAGCTCTGATAGCAAACATTCCTGAAATTATCATAAAACAAAATTTAGCAAAATTTTTATTGAAGGATAGAACTGAATGTACATGTACTAAAGATTGTTTGTCCATATACTTTAATCCTTGGAATGGTTTAGGTTTTGTAACTGATTTGAGAGCACACTCTATATCTCACCTGCTTCTGTACACACATTCCTGAGATCTGCACCATTAAAGTCATCAGACAGCTTTACAACAGCTTCCCAATCTAAAATATTGCATAAATTTTTTTTGAAGTATATCAACTTGTTTTATTTTAATATATATTATCTTTTAATAGTGCTTGAAATTTATGGGTCTCTAGTTCAGAAAAAGTACCGGTAATTGAATATTAATTATGTTACCTATTTCTCCATGTTTTGCTATAGGTTGAGCATGGATTTTCAATATTTCCAGTCTTGACTGCTCATTAGGTAAAGAGATTTCTGTTGGAAAGAAATAAAATTGTATGTATAGTTAAACTGCACAAAAAAAGAAAGACAATCTTTTTTTAATGTTTGTAAAAATAGGATATCTTTGCATAACAGTACCTTGGGTATGTCTTAAATTGTGAAAAAAATACACTTTTTCTGTAGATGTTGAATATTTTTCAAAGAAGGGGATATACAGGTCATCAAATTAAACATAATTTTAAACTCTTGCACATGAAAAATTAGGGAAAACAAACACTGACACAGATTTATTTGAGCAATTTTTACATTGGTTTGAAAATACAGTCAAACCTTGTTATCTCAAACTGAAAGGGACCAAAATTAAACTCTGAATTATTAAAAGTTCAATATAATGTGAAAAACATGGTTGAGACTGCCAATTCACTATGAAATATCCCTTGTATTTGAGATAGAGTTTGAGATATCGAAGTTCAACTGTAGGTTACATGATGGTCATTTTCTCTATTAAATATATTCTTCCCAAAGGAAAGAAAAAGTAAGCAAGCTCACACACCCAATGCTCCCCTAAATGTCAAAGTCCCGAAATTCCCCCAAAAAATAAAGGAATCAGAATTTCTTGATAATATGCACATCTGCAAGTTTGACGAAAAATCTGTGCAACAGTTTATGAGGAGTTGTGCTGAAAAACTGTTCAGATATTGCTAAGAATCCAAGTTGAAAAGTGCCGAAATTCCCTGAAGAATAATGGAATTGAAATATCCTGGTAATATGCACATCTACACAGTCTGATGAAATTCTATCCAGTGGTTTATGAGGAGTTGTGCTGACAAACTGTTCATCTCTATATTGAAGATATGGCCAAAAATCTTAGTTGAAAAGTGCCGAAATTTCCGGAAAAAAATAAAGGAATTGGAATTTCCTGATAATTATGTCCTAAATATCTGCAAAGTTTGACAAAATTCTGTGCAGTGGTTTGGGAGGACTTGCGCTGACAAAAAAACAGGACTAACTGACTGACTGACACACTGATGGACGGGTCAAAAACATTATACCTCCCGCAACTTGTTGCTTGGGGTATAACAATGCTGACCTAATTATTGCTATCTGATCATTTGCTCCCTTAGCTCAATTTGAGCTTTAAGTCTGTGGTCAAGTAGATATTACACATCCTTTTTTTTGAACAGATATAGGATTTCAGAGATAATTTCATGGTTTCTCACCTATCTTTCTGTCAAGTCTTCCTGGTCTGAGTAAGGCTGGATCTAATGTATCAGGTCTGTTTGTGGCCATAATCATTTTTACCTGACCTAAAGCATCAAAACCATCCATCTGGTTCAGCAACTGAAATCATTGAAATTTGTTATAAAACAGTTAAAAATTCTACATTTTACCTTTGTTATTACCTGTATACATTATAATAAAGTACATGTATGTTAATATGAAACCATCCATCCAAACTAAACCAAACATTTTCCACAACGTAAAAGAAACAAATTGACAATCATAGAATGTGACCTTTAATATACCTCCATTAAGGTTCTTTGAATTTCTCTGTCAGCTGATGTTCCCTCTGAAAATCGCCTTCCACCTACAACGAGTCATTGATCATATTGTTAATAGGCTCTTCAAAACTAAAGCCTAGAATAGAAGTTAGTCATATTAGGCAAAAAAAAAAAATAATAGTTTCTCAGGCACCGCCGCATCAGTTCAAAAACGGCCGCATTGATCAATTTTATTGACATATTGAAAAGGGAAATAACTCAATTTTCCAAGTTGAAAAAAAATTGAGTTATACCCCTTTTCATAAATGCGAAGATAGACGTTTTTATTAGAAAAACAATATATTTCTTTTAAATTTACAATATTTCATGAATTAACTTTTAGATAAATGTTTGGAATAACATTATTTAAAGTTCAAAACATATTATAACTAACTTTAGAGAATAAAAATTAAGAATAAGTAGATATTATCTTTTTATTGAACAAAGGTGTAAAACCTGCTTCAAAAAAAAAAAAAAAAAAAAAAAAAAAAAAAAAAAAAAAAAAGCCTGCCTGTCGCATTGAATTTTCAATTTTTTGGCCTGAGAAACTATTAGTTATTTTTTGGGGGGCCTTAAATTTGTATTTTTTTTCTTTCATTGTCTTCAATTTTTTATAATTCTTCTCAAAAGAAGTAAGATTTGGAGGCCATTAATTTTACAGGAGACAGGTGTAGCTAATGGACCTATGCAGTCTGACTAAAGCCAGCCCATACTATTTCACTTCGTTAATGAAGTGAAATAGTAGGGGCTGGCTTTAGTCAGACTGTGGACCTCTGGATCTAGAAATTCATAACAGAACCAAAGTCTTCACTAAGTTCACTTTCTTAACATACTCGAGTTTTGAAAGTCACAGTACAAACCTATAGCATCAATCTCATCCATAAATATGATACAGGGTTCATGATCTCTGGCAAATGCAAACATTTCTCGAATTAATCTGGCACTTTCTCCAATATATTTGTCAACAATTGCACTTGATACGACCTGCAAATTAAAATTTTCCACTGCTTTATACATTTTTTTAAGTTTAACAAATAAAAACAATGTGTTGCATGCTTAGCTTGGGTTTACCAAAGAAATTGTTGGTAGCTTCTATAAAGGATAAGTAAAGCATTTCAATGAAAAAGAAAAGTGATCAAAGTGAATGTACATTTTCACATTGATGGAATTATTGTTAAGTGTATATCTGCATATATGTGTCAAAAGTTCTCCAAAATGAAATTATACAATTTATATTTTCATGTACTAGGTCTTAAACAATAGGTAAATAGGCCATATTGCTCACCTCATCACTTTGGCTAGGAAAAAGCAGAAATCAGTCATTGGAAAGTTCAAATATGAAAGAGGAGGAAGATTTTTTATGATACATGTATCAATAATATTTTACTGAGTTGTAATCATCTCCCCATGGAAGAAAGTGTGACCTATCATTTTTATGCCCCTGGAATTAAAGATCCCGGGGTATATTGTTTTTTTCCTGTCTGTCTGTTGTCAGCTTTAACCTAGCCCATAACTATTGCATCAAGGGTAAGTGTATACTTGTACCACTTCAGTCTACGTCCCACTCCAGAATTGTGTTACCATCGGGGGCATAGTGTTTCAGAAACATCTTGTAGCAAACTTCAATCCCTTTATCCAAGGACTTTTTGTGGCAAGTTTACACATAACTGGCCCAGTGGTTCTTGAGAAGATGTGGAAATTGTGAAAAATTTTCTGACAAATGATACACAGATGGGTAAACAGAAGTACAGACACCAGACAAAATGTGATCAGAAAAGCTCACTTGAAGGCTCAGGTGACCTGTTGAAAGTCATTTGATGCAAAATCATTAACCTTTAGGAAATTAGCATCCAGTTGACTTGCTACAGCTCTTGCTAACAGAGTTTTTCCTGTCCCTGGTGGCCCATACAGAAGACAGCCTTTGGGAGGGGTTATTCCTACTCTTTGAAATAACTCGGG